TAAGCACTGGAACAGGCTGCCCAGGGAGGTGGTGGAGTCACCATCCCTGAAGGGATTTAAAAGACGTGTAGAGGCAGAGCTTAGGGACATGGTTTAGTGGTGGACTTGGCAGTACTGGGTTTACGGTTGGACTTGGATCTTAAGGGTCTTTTCCAATCCAAATGATTCTGATTCTGTTACAGCTTCTGCTAAATTGAGTTTATTAAATTGACCTTCCATAACACAGGTCAATAAAAAAAATTTATAGTTCTAAAAAGACACTATAGTATGCCTTGAAAGGCCTGGAATTATTCTAAACAGTATGACTATCACCCCAAAATTACTATCAGAGCAATCAACTGTTGAAGAAATGATAAAGAGCTATATATCTTTGACTTTTCAAACAAATCCTGTCCTACAGTTTCACCTACAAAGAAGTAAGGCAACAAATATGGTATAAGATCATCTCAGATACATCAAAAAATAAATAAAATCACTGAAAAATTAAGAAATTTCTACTCGGCTCTGGTAGAAGGAGCTATAAAATCTACTGTGCTGATGGGTGTCAAGGGAAATGTAAACGTAAAGCAAATTGGAAAGATGCAAGAAGAGAAATCAGATTCAGATTTTATCCTGCTGTCTGTGAATTAAGACTGTTCTTTATTTCAGTTCTTCACCATGACTTTTAAAGGTACATCATCCTCCAGAGAACTCAAAGGATAAACAGAGTTGACAGGAATCACATGAGGCCATTTGCTGGTGTCATAGAGGCTGGGAGAAGGAGTAAGTGATGGGAAGCAGGGACCTCTCAGCCATCCCATCTCTCTGCAACACAGGCAGAGGTGCATCTCAATTCCCAGGGTGTTACAGGAACTGAGACTGAGTAGTGAAACTAAAGCATCTGAAGAAATTGAGAATAAATTTAACAGCAATAAAAAAGTAAATACACACCAATATAGAAAGAAAACTTGTTCCACATTATCAGCTGAACATATATCCAAAAAGAGCAGATATTATGCTCATTTAAGAGTATTTGCAATTCCCTCTGTATTTCAAACCCATCATGTTCTTTAATATATTCATAGCTTTGGCTAGCCAATATTAATTTTGATTACAGCTAAACCACACAGACTCCATATCTAGCAGAATTTTTATAGTGAATTTACCAACATGTAATCCAATTGCAGCATTTCATTATTTTGCTGTCTTCATCAGGAAATTACTTTTAGATCTTTTTAAAACAATGCCATCAACATAGGCCATTCAACATTAGAAAAGCAGAATTCAGAAATCAGAACCAAATTGGTTCCTTTGCTTTACTAAGTAAACCACACTGAAGAAAACAACCAAAAAAAATATATATACATATATAGACATATATATCTCTGCGTCATACGATACTGATGATCATCCTACTAAAGATCATAAGTGAAGCTGAGATCTTCCAACCAACAGAACAATCCCTAAGGTACTTCAGCTATCAAGGTGGTAAGTAACAAAAGGCTGCTTCCTGATTCACAGTTAAAAGGAAAATTAAAAACAAAATAACAAACCAAACAAAAAAATGGAAAACTGAAACTCCATACTTTTACAACTATTTGCAAAATTGTAAATAGATGGCAAGATTCTGAGATATAGTGATCAACATGCAGCTTAGTAGGTGAATGCTCTTGAACCTTGAAAAGTTCCAAAAATTGAGTTGAATCGGTGTCTTATCAGCTCTCTCTAAAATCGTAGAATTAGTCAGCCACATTCTTCACACTAAAAAAGCTCAAAAAAAAAGACCACAAAAAGCCACACTACTACTGTGTCCTTCTTGGTGAGTGTATAAGGAAGTTATTTTAGTCAATTCTTCCTGTACTTCTTAAACATATTGTTTCTGTGGTACAGTATCATGTTTGGGCCCCTCCTGAACAACGGAAATATTGATATATTGCAGCAAGTCCAGCAGGGGGTTATGAAAATGATTAGGAAGCTAGAGCACATGATATACAAGCTCAGGTTCAAAGAGCTGTGTTTGTTCAGCTTGAAAAAAAGAAGAGGGGGTGATTTTTACTCTTGTGAGTGTGGTCAGACATTGGAACTGGTTTACCACAGAGGTGATGGAAACACCGCTCACAGAGATAATCAAAACTTCACTAGCTCATGCTCTGGGCAACCTCATCTAACATTTAAGTGGTATCACTTGTCAAAGCTGGCCCTGCTTTGAGCAAGATCTTGGATCAGATGACCTCCAGAGATGCCCTTTCCAACCTACACTACTCCATGGATCACCTCTTTACTTAAAGATTGCATGAACATTTAGCCTTTAAAGGATACAGTCTTTTACAAGTATAACTTTTGTGTGTCCTTATTGAGACCTTATTGCTCTCTACAACTACCTGAAAGGAGGTTGTAGTGAGGCAGGTGTTGGTCTCTTCTCCCAGGTAAACAGCGATAGGACGAGAGGCAGTGGCCTCAAGTTGCATCAGGGGAGGTTTAGATTAGACATTAGGAAAAATTTCTTTCCTGAAAGATTGGTCAGGCATTGGAACAGGCTGCCCAGGGAGGTGATTGAGTCCCCATCCCCAAAGGTGTTTAAAAAACGTGTAAATGTGGCACTTCAGGATGTGGTCTAGTAGGAATGGTGGTGTTGGGTGGATGGTTGGAGTTGATCTTAGAGGTCTTTTCCAACCTATGATTTTATGATTCTATTACTTTAATAATGAATAACCGTTACACTCCCTCAGTTAAACCATTACAGTCCCCCAGTTAATTAAATCTCAGAATATTTTCTATGAAATTCCAAGGTTTCAAGCAGTAAAATTAAAAACTTGGATTTATATTCTAAAGTAAATATCACAGTAAATTTATGTCTTATTTTACTAAAGCAGTGATTATATACTCAGATGTAGGAGTTTTTATTCAACACGTGACTAACACTTAAATATGACCAAATAAAATCACCATTTAATTCAGTTTCTCACCTTGGAAGGGAGGTACTGATCTGCAGCCTTGGTAAAGCTGGAATGACTTCAACAGTACAGCCATTGGTCTTCACTCCTGGCAGGTTGTCCAGAAGGCAGTCACTGAAGACTCCAAAGACTGAAGTATGGTAACCTGATTTTTAGAAGAAAACACCAGTATGTTGTGAATTTTTTGTGTTTTCTGAAAGGTCTAAAAGTACTAAGCTTACTAGTCAGATCTTGCCAATATTTCTGCTACCCAAACCACCACTTTCTCTACAGGAGAATCTTCTCAGGACACAAAATATATAAAACATTGTCAAATTCCCTAAATAACAACATTCATAACTACATGATGACATACAAACAACACATATGTAAGCCTTTGTATCTGTGACATGTAAAATAAAATTTAAAAAAAAGTCCATGATTTTTACCACACATTTTGGTAAGCTCTGTAGAATCCTTTACAAGATCAACAAGTCATAGTATAGAGACCATTATTTTACACTACATCCCCTAACCCACTGGTGCACATAAAACTTGTTACCCTTCAACATATGTTAGCAATTCCGTATTTCCTCCAAAAAATGTTTATAGGAAAGAGTCTCAACTGTATCGAGAAGCTAAGGAAAAAAGAAACCTAAAGGAAATTAATTCGGGGAAAAAAAAGTATATATGCATATACACACAAACACCTGCCATGAAAGACCACTGTTCAGTTTCATAGGGAAGTATCTCCATACCCGTTCCTCACCAGGCAATATATACAAGCTGTATGTGAAGGAAAAGTTGATACATTGACACACAAGCAGCTGCCAAATACAGAAATCAACTCCGCTACTTGCAATACATTTTTAGTATGTGAAACTAAATGGAGACAACTACAGCACAAATGTTCTGAATGCTTTTATGCCATTCTGTATTTGCTGAAATAGTTTCTGAAAAAGAAAAAAAAAATCAATTGAGGAATTCCCTTATGAGCAGACAGCAAAGCACTTAAGAAAAACTCAGTGAGAACAGAGTTTCTTCAAAGCCTTTCTTCTTTTGGTTGTTTAGCTTTATTAAAATATTTCTTTTCCTGCAACTCTGTACTCCAGTAGCATGCACCTAAAATTGTGTGATGGTAAGATGATTCAGTCCTATTACTTCTTGAATCTATCATCTTCACATATATCTCCTTTTCTAGGAGACTGATCTGCTCATCTTCTACAAAAGCTCTTTAATTCTCTTTACTTACTATGAACACAATTCTATTTAGGCTTCTTAATGAAATGATATCTCGACTGCAACAGACTACACACATTGGCTAAATTATTTCTACACAAGCAATCTGCAAAAATTCCTGTAATCTTATGTAAACACGATTAATTTAGAAAAATGAACTGCAAGATTATCTTCTGCATTCTCACAAAAAAGTTCATGTAATCCTCCTCAGCAGCTTTCCAAATGAAAGCGTTAATAAAGAAGAGTTTGAATTCATTATCCTTTTCCTCTCATATGTGAGATAGTGTAAATATGTGTTCATTAGTGCTGTTGCAACCAAGTGATTTTTTCAGGCTATGTTTTTCATGAAGTCTAGTATAGAAAAGAGATTTCTTTTTTTTGTTTTGTTTTTTCTTTTACATACTGAGGAGACTTCAGACCAGAAAATATATAAAGGACATCAATTTAAAATGTGTCACACAACCTTATGTAATCCACAGAGATGTAAAACATATGGTTCTTTCACTAGGAAGAGAATGACTAAAGAGATCGCTTACCATTGACAGTGATCTGTCCAGTGGTTTGAGGAACACCAACAAGAGTCACCGGATAGAGACCAGATTCTGCAGGTAGAGACAGAGCTGCAGGAAGAGATTCGAATTCTACTCCTGTTGTCAAGAGACCCTGAAAAAGACAAATTACATAGATAAATCCATTTATGATATACACTTACATTTTTATGGCATATACTTACATTTTTTATCCCTTGCATTACATGACCCAGGCTTTCACAATTTATTCCAATTTGCTCATTGCAATTATTTGGTTTTAAGTTCCAGTGACTTAAGCATGCATCTAGAATTATGGCAAGATTTGTATTCAACAGTGAAACATGTTTTAGGATCTGAGGTGGGAATGATGTATGAAAAGCTAATAAAAATTTATACCCAAGCACAGTAAAAAGAATGAGTGATATAATCTGCATGGTGGTGTTTTGTACCTACATTTAATTGTACCTGTGACCCTACTTATACATTTCCTTATAGTATGGAAACTGGAAATCAAACATCAATAGTGGCTCTTGCTTAGCTTTAATTAAAGTACACAGCTAGAAAATATGTGTCTATGGGGAGAAAAAAAATCAAGCGTTTACAGATAATAGACCAAATCTAGTTTACTATCCAACCTAAACATCTCAATGCATTGGAATAAGGCACTGACTTTGCTAAATCAGTCCTCTATCAAGCCTAGATGCCTGCAGTTCAGCTGTATGATTTACTCCCTTAGTGTATGTCAGAGAAATCTCTTAGCACCCTGAACTTAAAACATGGGACAAAATAAGAAATGAAAGGAAGAAAAAATTAATAAACTTTTAAACCCACCATTACTGTCCTTAGCAGATTGGGGTTTTTTTAAGCTCAGTTAATGAACTTCAGATGCTTGAACACAAAATGTACTGCTAGAAGTAAGAAATTTAATGATGTAAAGCTCATAAGTCTAAGTTACCAAAAGCTTTTCTATGCACATAGATTTTTATTTTTTAATAAAGATGCCATCCAAATATCTCCATCAATTAATGCAGTAAGTACAACTGGATTAAACCTCAACTCCCTGAGGACGCTTCACAGGAACTCAAAACTCTATGATAGATACTATTCTTGTAAAGATAGATGAGAAAACTCACGGTTCGAGCCACAGAAAACCACAGACTGAAGACTGAATAAGTTTAAGAAGCAGCAATGTTATCTGCACAATGCCAGAATACCAGCATTGCTTTCCTTTAAAAACACCTATGATGGCCTAGTTATTAATTCAGTTGGGTTTTGAATGGTGCACTTCTAATGCTCACGTCAGCTGTAAAAGGCAGACTAGCCCTCTTACGTTCTAATTCTCAATTAGAAATGAGGAAAATTGATACTGGTATAACAAGTACTTAAAGAGATGCAAATGGCATCACTGGAATTACCCAGCCAATGACTGAAACTTGACCTGTCATGTACATTAAGTTTTAATGGCCTGATTTGCTTTAGGGCTAACCATCTGCAAGTCTTTGTCAAGCAACTCCTAGATATTAACCAAAATCAACCCACCAACAATCAAAAAATGAACTAAATTTAAAGTCATTATCACAACTCCTCAAGCAAATCCTAGATATTAACCAAAACCAACCCACCAACAATCAAAAACTGAACTAAATTTAAAGTCATTATCACAACTTCTTCCCTCCTCAGAAAGCAGTGTGTCTTTTGGAAAATTAACAAATAATTATCTTTTATTTACATGCTACATAACTATCAAATAAATGCTTTGCATCCAAAATTTTTGACAGCAAAGTCCTAAACACACCAGAAGCTTAAGAAAGCGATGTGAACAGGTGTGTCAGGTTCCTGATGTCTCTGCCACTGAAGATCTGAAGTCATCAAGATTATAATATACCCAAAAGCTAAAAACTCCTTTCTTCTAGCAATTACTTCTTTGTAGTACTGAAGATCTGAAGTCATCAAGATTACAATATACCCAAAAGCTAAAAAATCCTTTCTTCTAGCAATTACTTCTTTGTAGACTTGACACTGTTGAGGCAACACCTAATTCAATTAAAACTATTCTTGCTTTGTGGAAAGTTGCGTTAAAGAACTCCATCCTTTTCTAATACTGAACAAAATTCAACTTCACCATTTCATTCGAGTTGTAAGAAAGTACTGTGTCAAACTCTCATTTCTACTGAATTTTAGTTTTCCCCCAGTTTCACACGGAGACTTCAGTTGTCAAAAACAATCCACCAAAAAGTAAATAAAAACTAATTCTGTCTTCCTATACATTCACCACCCAGTGTATCAGCTGAGGGAGCTGAGCTTATTTGGCCTGGGCTTGTTCAGCCTGAAGAAGAGAAGGCTGAGAGGGGACCTTATAAATGCTTACAAATATCTGAAGGGTGGGTGTCAGGAGGACGGGGCCAAACTCTTTTCAGTGGTGCCCAGCGACAGGACAAGGGGCAATGGGCACAAACTGAAGCAGAGGAAGTTCCATCTGACCATGA